TGGTGATGTCACAGGGTCCTGACGTTCCACAGTACCCTGGAGACCAGCGGAGGAGCGTCTTCTCCCTCAGCCAGAGGGGACATGGCAGCAAACAGAGAAGTGGGGACCCCCTCCCTCATCCTGCTGGGGACCCTCTTCCTCGTCCTCCTGATGTGCTGTTGGCAAGAAGCTGAGCCCTGGCCAATGAGAATAAATTCAGGTAGAGTTCCATGTAGATTGTTTGGCAGATAAAAAGCCATAAGCCCGAATCTCATGGATGGCAGCCTTGCCCTCCCATGGGTCACTTCTATGGTTTGGACAAGTCCCTTCCAAACTCCAGGTGTTAAGCTGACAGCATTAAGAGGTGGGGCCCTTGTGCAGAGAGTAAGCCAGGAGGGGCTCTCTCTCTGGAAGGGATTAAGCCTTAACAGAGAAGGCCATGCAGCGTTCGGCTCTGGTGCTCTTCCTCCCAATTCATGAGGACGAGGATGAAGCAGTCCCCCCGAGGGGACACAGCGACAAGGCACAGGCAGGACTTGGAAGCAGAGAGCAGCCCTCACCAGACACCAACCCTGCTGGCACCTGGCCTTGGACTTCCCAGCCTCCAGACTGAGAAGTAAACTCGGCCCTTTGTTAGGTACCAGTCCCAGGTGTCGTCTTACACGCAGGAACTAGACGCTGTCCCTACCCACCCAGATGGGTCCTGGGCATTTCTTTCTCATGGAATGCAGCCAGGTAAAAAGGTTTTCTGTCTTTGAAGCTCTTTTAAATTCTAGAACTCCACGGGGGTTGTAAACATTACATACTTTATTAACTCATGGAACTTTTTTTTTTTGGAGAGGTTTTGTTTTTGTTTTTGTTTTTTTGCTATAGGGCACATGCGCTTGCCAGAAAGACAAGAGAGAGACAGAGAGACAGAAAGCAAGAAATCACCCCCCAGAGGGAATGACCACGCCGCAATCCCTTCTCCTCCGTTCTCCTCTCAGGATCTTGGGCACGCATGCACACGCGCCTGGCATGAGTTTAAGCCACCGGGTCCTGTACTCGAATCCCAGTTGACTAGATGGGAGTCTAGCAATGTAGCCATTATGCTAACTGCTGGTCCCAACTCATGGAACTTTTATCCAAAAGTAGAGAGAGAACCACGAACCTCCGTGGACTCACCTCCAGCTGCAAACGTTGCCCACATCTCACCATCTTGCTTTGCCGTAGACACACTGCACGCGGGGAGTGTCGCACTTCTGTCGCAGACACCCCAGCACTGCATGCGGAATGTTTCCTTGCTAACAGATGAAAGTTTGATTTCTCCCTGTCCTGAATGTCATACGCCCACTAAAGAATGAACAAGACTCCCCCGTAGCAGCTACCACTGCCCGAGAGTCAGCCTCTCCCACTGCCTCGGAAGGAGCTCTCGCAGTTCGTTTCAGCCAGGACCCAAGCGCGTCCCCGTGTGCCTTTGGCTCCTGTTGCTTTTGTTTTGACACGTATTTTTGATGAACAAGGGTAACAGCTCAGATCCTGGAGAGGATAGAAACCGGGTGGGGCCACCCCAACCCCCCTTTCTTTTCCCTAGGGAGCGGCCCACTGTCCTCAGGCGAACCAAGGCTAGGCTCCAGGCAGGGGCGGCCCCGTCCCGCGCCCTCCCGGCTCTCCCCAGCTGCCTGCACCCCCACCCCTCCTGGAGCAGGTGCCTCCCGGTGTGCTGTCCGCTCCGGCCACAGCTAAACGGGTGGTGGTGGGGGGGGGACACCCTGCTAGGCCTGGGGCTGGTCTACGGGAGACGGGGCCACCGGGGCCTCACAGCCTGTGACAGGAGCCCTCGTCACCAACTCGTGTCTCTGGAGGAAGTTGGTTTTGAAGGGAAGCGGTCTGGAGGCGCTGGTGTAGAGGGTTCGGATCAGGCACAGGGCCTGCGTCCTCACACTGGCCTCTGGTTTGCTCACTCCTGGGCAGCTCTCCCCACGCAGACAGGCCACCTCTGGGGGTCACCCATGTGCGTCTGCTGAGGGGCTCACCCTGAGGCTCCGGCGAGCTGTCACTTTCTCATCAGGTGGGGAGCTGAGGAGCTTTTTGAAAAGCCCGCGGTGCCTGGGCACAGATGGCTAAGTTAGAGACCTGCCCTGAGACGGGAGCGCAGTCACCACGTGAGAGAAGTGTGTAAAAGAGACGCTCTCTCACACGGACAGCACACTGGAGCGGCCTGGGTGGCACCTTGCGGGCCGCACCAGGGCTGGGGTCAGGGTTACCTTGCTGTGGGGTCTTGTCGTGGGTGTCCAGCCAGGAGGACTGTCCCTGCAGCTGGCTCTGCTCGGGTCCCACTTGCGCCTGCGAGGGACAGGGACGTCGTGGCCCAGTGGGGAAAGGGGTGAGTGCACAGGTGGCCGTCCATGCCAGGGTAGCCTGCGAGGGGAAGGCGGCGCCCAGCACCCAGCAGATGTGCCGAGCGGGAGGGAAGAGCCTCCAGGCCCCTCACTTACAGCTAAGTGCGACAGGAGAGGAGCCTCCCTCTGGGCCAGGGTCTGGTGAACCCGACAACTAGGGACTCAGTGTCATGCCATGCCGTGGGCATCGCAGGACTTCCTGTCACGTCTGTGTGACCACCTACAAGCTGCTGTAGGAACACGAGACCTGGCTTCCTCATCCAGGAGTTAAAACAGGACCTGGGGCCGCTCTGCAGCCTGTGGTTGTGGAGGTCGGACCCCACGTGGCCAGCCCCACTGGAGTTCCATCCCCACAGCTTGAGGAACAGGCATGTATACCCAAAATCCCCAAAGGAGGGAGAGATGGGGAGGGAGAGATGAAGGAGAGATGAGGGCCGGAGAGATGGGGGATGGAGATGGAGGAGTGATGAGGGGAGAGATGAGGGGAGAGAGATGAGGGAGGTGAGAGATGAGGGAGAGATGGGGAGAGAGATGGAGGAGACGAGGGGTGAGAGATGAGGGGAGAGACAAGGGGGCAGAGATGGGGGGAGAGATGGGGAGAGAAAAGGGGTGAAGAGATGGGGGAAAGATAGGAGAGAGAGACAGGGAGAGAGACGGGGGAGCGAGGGGGAGAGATGAGGGGGAAAGACAAGGGGGGAGCGATTGGAGGGTGAGATGGGGAGAGACGAAGGGGAGAGATGGGAGGGACGGGGGAGAAATGAGGGAAAGACAAGGGAGAGAGACAAGGGGGAGAGCGATGGGGGAGAGAGGAGAGCAATGGGGGGAGACGAGGGGGAGAGCGATGGGGGGAGAGATGGGGGAGAAATGGGGGTTGCAGTGTGAACCTGCCCCTGGGGTGCTCTTACGGCTCCCTCTCCCTCCGCCTTCCTGTCTCTTTCTGGCAGTGCAGGTGCTCTCTAGCAAAAGCAAACAAAAACGGGCCTGAAAGGGTGTGAGCAGCACCCCGATGTCTGAGCGTCTTCCTGGGAGGGACGGCCAAGGTTCCCCACGGGCTCGGGCATTTTCTTTTCAGGGATCGTCCCTGGATGTTGGCCTCTCCCCTCGGGCTCTGCTAGAGGGGAGGCCCGGTCTTGGCAACCCTGAGTGCCCTCGGCAAGGCTGGAGACGTTCTCCAGGTCAGACCAGGCCCAGGCGGTCCTGGTGGAGGGCACATGCCCTGTGGCAGCTCCCTGGGGTCAGAGGAGGGTTTGCACCCGGAAGAAGGGAAGGAAGGGGGCAGCTTGATCGATTCGCAGAGGGCTGACTCCCCCAGAGATGACAACTGAGCAGCCTGGATGTTACGAAAGACACCCAGCTGCTGTCTCAGGACCACTTTAATCACCCGCTGTGAAGCCCTTTCCTTTTTTTTGAGAGATTTTTGCTGTAAGGCATGTGCACTCACTGAAGAGACAGAAAGCGAGGAATCACCTCAGGGCATGGCCACTCCGCAAACCCTTCTCCTCCATTCTCCTCTCAGGATTTTGCGCATGCACACACACGCGCCTGGTGTGAGTTTCAAGCCTCCGGGTCCGGGACTCCAACCGTAGTCAGCTATGGGGCTCAGTGACCCATCCGTTACACCATCTGCTGGTCTCCCTTTCCTTTAAGAGCTCTAGCCCCACCCTTCCACCGGTGCCACGCCGCGTCTGCCCCTGCCTCGTCCGGGAAGTGCATGGACACCTCCAGCCGCTTACTCTGGGCGTCTGTGACTTCCGCCACTCTAACAAAGCGATCTGCACTTCCCCAGTTTGAAAGGCCAACGAGCAAACAGTTCTTAGTTTTCTTTCATCGCTTTCCTAGGGCAACCTTGGGGCTTCCTTCCTCCGCTCTGGCCCTCTTGCTCCAGTGGGTACTTCTGCCCTTTGACCCGAGCGCGTGGCATGACTCCAGGGTATAGAGGCACTGGCCCAGAGGCAGCAAGGAGGGTGGCCGCTGGCCGGTGGGGGCATGGTGCAGTCTGTGTTCCCCAAATGACCCAGAGCGAAACCTCAGAGCTGGGCCGGGAGCCTCCGTGGAGGCCAGCATGTAGGAGGCGGGACTGTCCCGGCCCCTGCGCCCTAGGCCCGAGGCTTCGGTGGGGGCGGGAGGATATGTTAAGCGGGCACCTGGCAACGACATTTAAGCTCTGGGGTGTCGCCCGGGTTTTCTTGGACCCCTCCCTTCTTAGCTGTTCTGTATTTCCTTCCCTCTCCTTCAGTAAACCCTCCCCAAAGCGTGGGCTCTTGGCCCCGTTACCATCTGGTCCGGGGACTGCGCCGGAAGCCCTTCACCCAGGTCAGGGCCGGGAAGCGACTGGGAGCCCTCCCGGACCTTCCTACATGCGCCCCGCGCGGGCTGTGCAGACTGTCTGCCGTGGAAACACCTGGAAACCAGCTTCCTCACTGGCTCAGTGTGGGGACCCGAGTCTCAGACACCGCAGTCACTGTCACCGTGCAGCTCAGAGAAGGGTGGCGGCCATGCTGGCGTGTCCTTGGGGCTGCCCACGACCTGGGGGCTGCAGGAAAAGGCCGGCCTTGACCTCAAGCAAGAAGTCGGAGGCCGGGGGCCTCTACTAGAGCGTGACATAAACGTCAGAGGGAGGGCCCGGTGGTGGGTGTGGTCGCAGAGAGCAGGGGGAACCACATCCTGTCACTCTGGTCCCGCCCATGAGGCCATGGGGCTGCAGACCAGAGGCCAGGGTCCTGGGTACAGCTGATGCCCTGGACGTCCATTCACCCACAGGACCCCGCATCCTGTCTGTGGATGGGACCAGCCGGCCCTGCTCTGCTGGTGCAGGGGTGGCCGGGCTCTCCGGGCCCCCACCTCCCAGGACTGGGCCTTGAAGGAAGTGGGCTCTCCCGCCCTCTCCAAGGGCAGACGCCTCGTTGCAGGAACCTTCCCACTGAACGTGCACTGGTGTTGAAGTGCTGGCGGACTGTTAGCACAGGGCAGCTCCCGGCTCGGGCAGCCCCAAGACCCGGGGCGCAGCTCCAACCCGCCACATGGGTGTGAGGGGACCCACGCTCAGGTGTCCTCGGAAGACGATGAACGCATTTGCCTGTTGAAGCGGGAAGCCGCCTGAGCAGAACCTGGTGGGCCAGACTGGCAGGGCTGCATTTCCTTCCTTGTCCACACTGACCTGGGCTCTGGCTGCTTGGGTAGGAGCCCCAGGTGCCACTGGCCTTTCCAGCCCAGTGGCCTCCACGCTGGTCATTCCAACAGCTCACGAGGAGGTAACGGTGTAGTGTGTGTGTGTTTGTAGTTAGTTTTTTTCTTCCACGAACAAGGGGCGGGGGCAGGGGGACAGAGAGAAGGAGAGTGGCAAGGGGATGCGCTCTCGGGGGCCCAGACCAGGCTGTGCCACCTGCTACAAAGAGACCACACTTACTAAGAAGGGAACGTATTCATGAGGCCAGCATCGGGGTGAGAGCAGCCAGTCCGACGAGACACCGGCTTATCTCGGGAAGGGACGAAGGGACAGGCCAGTGCTGAGCAGCTCCACGGGCGGGCGGGGTCAGAGCTGTGACAGCTCGGAGGCAGGGCCGGTTCCCTTCCAGGTATGCAGGTGAGGCAAAAGACCGGCTACCCTCTCTGCGAGGAGCTTACAGATAAGCGGGCATGACCCAGGACAGAAGCCGCGCAGTCAGCCAGGACAATCCGTGGGCCTGGTGCGGTTTTACAGAGCTTGCGTGGCAAAGTCTTCTAGGAGTCCCACGGGGGCTGCTGGCGTCTCCCCTCCCCGTCTCCACAGCCGGATTCTGTAGACTCGGAAGGTTAAGCAGGAGCCATCCGTCAGGGGAAGGTTTCCGCAGGACTCGTGTGAGGGCGGAGAACTGAAGGCGCGTTCCCCGCTGTCTAGCCTGCAGGGTGGCCCCTGAAGGTGCAGCACCACGTATTCCCTGCTCCCTCACGGCCTGGGCGCAGAAGGGCCCCACACAGCCAGACCTACGGCACCTTCCCGTCTCCTAGATGAGAACCCGGCTCCCAGAGACCCCTCCTGGGCCAGCGCTCACGGGGGCACAGGGCTCCTCCCTGCAGACATGTCTCAAACCTGCACCTGCTGAAGAGGTGGGCTTAAATCCAAGGAAGGTGTGAGCGTTGTTAAATTGCAGGACTGCTATCCCCCACCCACTCAGGTCCGAGCGGCGAGTCGCTGTCGAGCTTGAGCCATCTGGATGACAACATGGCCACCACATTCGGTAAGGACCCCCACCTCAAACATCTGCTCCAAACCCGGAGGGTTAGGGTCCTCAGTGGGTGTTTCCCTAACAGCTGGGTTCCAGCTGCCACCGTGGGGAGTGGTTTGGTTTGAGCTCCCACGGCCCTGGCATCAGTGCCCGCACCTCAGAGTCACACTCCCGTGATGACGAGGAAGACATAGAATTGAGACAATTGGACCTAAAATGCCAAGGAGCCATGCTCCTCAGAGGGAGGACGGGGCAGCGCATCTGTACCTCCTGGGAGCCTGCTAGAAACGCCCAGAACCGAGCCCGCCAGGCCTCCTGTCTGCGTGTGTGTTCAACCAGATGCCGGCCCATCCATGCACACCGGAGGGGCCGGGGTGAGCCTCGTCCTCCCCTGCCCTGTCCCGCTGTGAGCACAGGCAGATACAGTCCCTGGGGAGACACTGGCCTCACCCCAGGCAGAAGTGCGGTAGGGGTGCAGAGGTGCCTCCACTTCCCGCGGCCGTCCAGAAGGGAGCGGACAGTCCCTGTGGCAGCACGTGCTAAGATAGCGCTCGCCGCAGCACGGTCAGTCCCCAGTCACTCATGGGCCTTCCTGTCATCATCATCATTATTAATTATTATTATTATGATTATTTAATTCTCCAAAGAGAGACAAGGAAAGTCAGAAAACATGCTTCCAGGTCTGGGACTCAAACCCTGGTTGGCCATGTGGGAGTCCAGCGCCTTAACCCCTATGCCAGCTGCTGGCCTCGTGCACTTTTCATCTTTATGTCACCGAGTCTGAAACCTGGTGTGAACATCACGCTTCAGCACATTTCAGGTGGCACCAGCCACGTGCCGACAAGGGTCCTAGGTCCCCACTGGGCCTGCGGCCTGCTGGGGCCAACTGTGCTAAGAGCCATGGATCTGCGTGGGCCGTCTGTCTGCTGAGTTCCTGCCTCGTGGAGTGCTTTCTGCAACACGGCTGGGCCTGAGCCTCGTGAGAGCCATGAGACAGACAGACGCCCCTTCTCGGGTGGGCAACTGGCTGTCAGAGACATGAGGAAGCGTGTCCGAGGTCAGACCAGCGGAGCAGAGCTGTGACGGCCTGGGGTGGTTGGACTCACATTAAAAGCCTCCTTGGCCAGCTCCGTGGCCTGGTAGTTAAGGCAGCAGACCCCACATGGCCGACTGCACAGTTTGAATCCTGGACCCAGCAGCTTGAAAGCCACGTGTGTGTGCATGTGTGTGCATGTGTGCGTGAGTATGTGTGTGCCCAAAGTCCTGAAAGCAGAGAGAGATGGAAGGGGAGGGATGAAGGTGTGACCATGCAGGGGGGTCTCTCCCCTCTCCCTCTCTGTCTCTCTTTGGTGAGTGCACACGCGCTCTGTAAATGGTTTTGAATAAACAAACAGAACCTCCTCGGGGAGCTCACAGAGACACCACAGTGTGTGTCAGAGCAGAGGTTGGGACAGACTCACCCCCACGTGGGAGGACAGAGCGAGCCAGGACAGGACGGGGACGCCTGCTCCCCGCGCCAGGCCGCTGTGGGTGGTGGTCACGTTGGGGTGCACAGGCGGTCTCGGACCAGGGAAACAGTTCAGGGGCAGACGAGGCTCTGCAGCAAGTCAAGTGCCCTACATCCGTCAAGTTCCTGGCTTCCGTGTTCCGTCCGCCGTGTTCCCAGACTGCCGCGGGTAGACGGAGCCCAGGGGCCACCCGGGCCTCCGGCTGCAATGAATTCTTGTGTGCTTTTCCCGAGATGAGATCCTGGTCCAGGAGATTTTGGATCCAAATAGATCGTCGTGGGGTGACACACTGAGTCCTCTAGCAAGATTTACACCAAAGAGGACGAAGGAAAAAAGCAAGTACCGTCCCTGCAGCACGAGCGGCCCCAGGACTCCGGTGGCTCGCCCGCCGCCTCGGCCTTCTGTAAGACCGGCTGTCGCTGGGCGAGGCCAGTGGACATTGAAACAGACAGCTGTCCAAACCAAATCTGTGGCCTTCTGGGGACGGAGGAGCCACTCAGGCCCCAGGGACTGCTGGCCTCCGTAGATGACCTGGGTGGGGGGGTGTTGGAGCACACACCTGCGGGGAGCCATGCAGAACATGAGGCACCGGGAGGTCAGGGACTTGGGGTAACAAGCCTGTCACGCTCCGGACACACCTCCTCGGCTCAGGCTCCAGAGAGGGCGGGCCAGTTCCTGTCACCCCACTTGACAGGCGAGACTAAGGTCTCACAGAGGACCGAGGCCACACTGCCCACGGGGAGCCAAAGCAAGGGCCATACCCTTCCCAGGGCAGTGTCACCGTCCCACCTGCAGACCTGAGGGGCGCGGAGCTGCCAGGGCACCTGACTGACAGCTGCCAGAGAGCCAGAGAGCTGCGGGGGCCGGCTCGGCCGGGTGTGGAGAAGCGCTTGAAGCGGGAGAGGGCAGCGTTTCTCAGCATGCGGCATCTGACCGGAATCCCGGTGCTCAGGGGTCGTTCGGCGACTTTGGCCCAGGCCCTGACCGCTGGGCTCAGGCAGGGGGTGACGCCAGCCATGTGCATGTCAGCTTCCCCACACACACTGGCCTCAGATCTCAACACCATAGCAGCATCCCCCATTTAAAATAAAGCCCGGGCCACGTGTGTTACACGTGTGTAACCAAGAAACTCCCATTTCTTCCATGTTCTTCACTGAAGAAGTCCATTTTAAAACTAATTTTCACAACACTGCTTCTGGAAAAAAAGAAGAGCAACTCTCCTCTGGGAGCACAGACCGACTTTCCTTTGACGGTAAATGCAAGAGGGGACCCCACCCAGAGCAGGGCCGCGGTGGGAGAGTGCGCTCAGGCAGACGCAGGTGGAAACCCCTCCCTGGGGAATAAAGCGCGTGGGCGGGCAAGCAGGGCTGTTCCCAGGTTGGGCGATGTCCCAGGCTCTCCGGGAGTGGGGGCCCTTCCTCCCTCTTCCGTAGCCCACCCAGGGGAGCCCCTAGAAATGCCACCTCGCAGGCTGTAGGCAACCAGAGGGACAGGAGGGTGCTGCCCAGATGCCCCGATGCCCAGATGCCCCGATGCCCGGCCCTTCCTCAGCCTTCCGGCTGAGTCTCTCTCCTTCCCGGGAGGGGGTGGGGGCAGAGGGCCAAGTGCCCCCAGGAAGCTGCCAAGGAGGGTCAAAGGGCAAAAGCCTCCAGGACCAGAAACTTAAATCCCAAGAGGGTGACCAGAACCAGGAGGGGGCGCAGTAGGCTGGAGACACGCATGGCGGCTGTGTGCCCCGTGAGCAGGACTCGCCCATGTGGCCCAGGCAGTGCACAGGCTTGGGGTGGGGAGCACGTTAAGTGCACAACCCTATGCCCTCCCCCGAGCTCTCCACAGTGACCCCACCAGGTCCTCGTGGAGCAGCGTCCAGGAATCTGCTTTTCAGCCATTCCCCGCCTTCCTCTCCTGGGGCTCCTCTGGTGCTCAGAGGGGCTGGAGTGGGTGTTTTCAGGACTTTAGCATGAATACAGCTCTATTTAACACTAATGCTCCTACTGCTGCTGGGTTTCTCCCACTCAGCAACTTACACAGCCCACCAGGTGGTTATAAATTAGATGTGACTGGTGTCTTGTTGCTGGCAGGCCCATGGTAGGTGAGGCTACACAGAGTCTGAAGACAGCAGTCACTCTGGGGGGCAGAGTCCGCCTCACCTGTGCTGGCGAGGCAGAGCCACCACGGCCCACTGCCCTGCAGGTGTTCCTGGTGAGCAGGTGCGAGGTGCCTGTTGATCTGCCCATGTACCAGAAGCTTCTGGATAAGAGGCCAGGACTCCACGGGCCTGTGGTTCTGGGCTGGCCCTGGGCACGGGAACAGACCAGCAGTGGTCCCAGGGCAATGGCATGGCCTACCCTTGAGACGCAGTACTTGGGACAGTCATGTAGGTAACAGCGAGGCCAGGCTGCAGCCACCCAGAGCCCTGCTCCTCCTGGGCCTCCCAGTTCACCCCGAGTCCCAGCAAGTGACATTTATGGCTAACAAAACTGAGCGCACGTTTGGCTCCGAGCAGCTGAAGGAGCCGGCACAGTGCTATCGGGTCCCCGGCTAGTAGCTCTCGGCTGGAAAAACTGAGCACGGACCCATTAGGGAAATGTGCATGACATGGAGGTGAGAATCTCAGCACTTCAGTTTGGCCACAACAACCCTGACGAAGCCTCCACCAAAGACCTGACTGAGGACCCCACCCAGGACCTCACTGAAGACACCACCTTGGAAGTGACCAAAGGCTCCACCCAGGACCTGACTGAAGGCTCCACCCAGGACCTCACTGATGGCTCCTTTTTCTTCCCTCTAGGAAGAGGTCTGCTAGGACACTGTGACAGGCACCCCTGGGCAAACACCTGGGCAAGACACCCTCCACCGTCCAGCCAGCACGGTGGGCCAGAACCTCGGGCTGGTGGAGGCCCTGCCACGTGCTTCACAGTCAGAGCTTTAACTCATATGTCAGCCACCATAAGGCCCAGCCAGGTCCTGGGAGGAGCCCTTCCGTCAGGTCCTGGATGGAGCCTTCTGTCAAGGAAGGCCGATGCAGCTGTGGAGCCACAGGAAACCGCTGGAGTGGAGGTCAAAGTGCCCGGTGCCCAGGGGTCCCCATGGTCTCACCAGACTGGGAACCCCCTCTGTCTAGGGACAGAGGTCCCGCACTCCACCCCCTGTCCAGGCAGGTGCAGTCCTGGCGCTCTGGTGCTGAGGGTGGAGTCGGTCCTTCCTGAAGTGCCCACAGACCTCACGTCTCCTCCCCGGGAAACCCAGGCTCCAGCAGTCCACGCAGCCCTGCTCCCACAGCAGAGCGATCCGGGTTCTCATCCTCATGGCTTAGGACTAAGCTGAGCTCTACCCTGACGTCCCTGAGTTCATGGGAGGAGACTTCACACAGTCCTTGGGAGCCAGGCCTCGGAATCATGCAGTAAGGAGGGCGATGGGCTCTTGGACTGCGTCTGGACGCGCTCCTGGCCCTCACTGCAGGGGGCGCCGTGGAGACTCCCGTGCTGCATTTCCCGCTGGAGCCGTCACCACACCACGGGGAGCATGTGGGGCTTGCGGTGTCGCCTCCTTTGCTTCGCGTTTGTCTGTTTGGGGCCTAACTTTATATTTCGCTTTGTTTGTTCTTGTTGGCGGGCACATGCACTCACCTAAGAGAGGTGGGGGCTGGGTGTGCGTGTTAAAAAGCACCCGGTGGGGTATGACCCAACCACAATCCTTTCTCCATTCTCTCAGGATTTGGGCATGCACGCACATGTGTCAGTGTGTTTTTCACGCTACCGGGTCCAGGACTCAAACCTCAAAGTCAGCATGTGGGATCTAGCCACCTTGACCTAACAGGCTAAGGACTGGCCCTGTATTTGGCTTCTTAATGGGCCTGTCATATTCTTTTTTTTTTTTTTTTAAGAGAGAGACTTTTGCTATAGTGCATATGCACTCGCCGGAGAGACAGAGACAGAGAGACAGAAAAAAAGAAATCACCGTTCCCCCCCCCCCCCCGGGAAGATGGCCACGCTACAATCCATTCTTTTCCATTCTCCTCTTGGGATTTTGGACACGTGCCCAGCGTGATTTTCAAGCCACCATATCTGGGACTCGAACTGTGGTAGATCATGTAGAAGTTCAGTGCCTTAACAACTGCACCACCTCCTGGACCCAGGCCTGTCTTATTCTAATGGATGGTC